ATATTTTATAGTCAAATTATAAAATTAAATTATAAGATTATGAAATATTAAATGGAAATATTAGTTTCGCGCGCTTAAATCGATCAGAATTTGCTTAAAGCACATTTAAATTGCTAATCATGTAACACTATCAATTATAATATGTAACTGAATTTAATATCCTGTACTGAATCTGATGTAAATATAATAATTAACAAACAATTATAACTATTTGCTAAGATCCTACCAAAATTCGTTTCAAAAATCTGCATATACGTATTACGTATATATACATATATATTTTTTTTCACACATTTTAAACTTAATAATAATCACGTAGAAAAGAATGTGTTAATTTCCAGAAAATTTTATAAAAAATTGATGACCAAGACAAAATCTTATTAGCATATGTTGAAAAAATATATTACTAATATTAAAAAGTGCTGAACTTAAAGTACTTTAATAATTCTTCCCTAAATCATAATCTAACATATTTCACTAACAGAAAATACAAATCTGATTGAATGATCGATTCCGCGTAAATCTACTTCGTGAAAACGATGGAAGATTGCGCGATGGCCATAAATGGCGGCCACAAAATTGATGGAAATACGTACTTTTATCGACGTACTCGAAAAAGATAGACAGCTACAGCGCTGAAGCGGGACGACCCTCAACAGTTTGATACGGTTTACGGTAAACACATTTCGGTGGCAATCATGTCATAGGGCAAGCAAGCAGCAAGCCAGCAAGCAAGCAAGCAAGACCGACAGAACCAAAGAGTAGGTGATGCTTCCTAGGTTGGGGAAGGTGCACGAGTGGTCGCTGAAGAGCTCTTAGCCGACCCTTTGTTGCCCCTGCCATCCCCACTTCTGTTATCACGTAAGGGACGACAGGGGTTACAGCGAAGCTAGTATGGGAGTTAAAGGGTAGTCTCGCTCTTGGCCAAAGGCCTCTGATTTACTTAGCCTATCGAGTGCTCTCCCGGAAACTCGTCCGCCAAGAATATCGCGTACAGAGTGTCCAACAATCACCGCGCATGCTTCAACAGCGAATTCTGAGGATTAACTAGAGTCGAAAATCCTGATATGAAATTTCTGAGGTCACAGTAAATACTGAGTTATTAGCAATTAAAACTGACCAATTGCGTAAATTTCGCACTTTCAAATCTGTAATTATACGTATAAACGTATTGATTTGTCACTTGTGACTAATTTTTATAATTAGACAATATCGATTTTTGCTGTTTAGTTGATTTAGTCTCTGGTTTTTTTATTTGTAAAAACTATATGCGCAATACACACATAATATATAACAATCAGCTGATATAATGACAAGTTGATTATTAATAACAAATTTTCATTGTTTCACTCAAACTTATTTAATCCCTCATTTATATAAAGACGTTCGCATCTAGTGATTTTAAATATTCTGTTCCCTGAAATGTGTGCTAATAAATTTACAAAATAATAAATTTAAATTTACGATTAATAAATTATCATTCGATAACTATTTATAATTAATTCCTAATAATAATTAATTGCATATAAAATATATAATTATTTTTTCTTACCGGAAGAAAATATCAGAGTACTTTTATTACAATATAAAAATTGTATATTTAAATAAATTGTACTTGAGAATCAATAATTTCTAAATTTATAATTATATAAACTCAAACTAACAATAAGTATTATAATAATAAAAAATAATTATTACATATACATAAACTGCTTTATTAATTTTTGAATAAGTATTTTACATAACTGTTACATAACATAAATATGTTACATAATTAAAAAAAAAACTTTCTTTAGATATAAACTTTTTTGTAGAATTTTAATAAACAATCATCTAATTTTTTTTTCTTAAATAAATAATTTCTATTTAATTATAAATCATAAATTTGAAATATATTTATTTATATACTGAGAAGGCCTCTCGAAACCATGCAACTTCTGTCTGAAACATTTTTGTCTATCGGGCTCAGTTTTCGAGATATTCGCGTCGATTGATTAAAATGGTCCACCCTGTATATTTTTTCGTTGCCGCTATGAAGTATTTGACGTACAATAAATAAATAATGTACGCCGAATATTCTGTTCCTTTAATATCAAGTAATTTCGATCTTATAAATTATATTATCGCATATTATACATTTAATGTTTATTTAAAAACTACAATTTACCTTTGTTTTGATCAAAAAAGGTAATTATATATAATGAGTAATTTATATTTATTATTATAATCTTTTCCCAAATTTTTATAGAAAAAATGAAAAAAATTGTGTACTTTCAATAAATTAATAATTATAATAAAAATAAAAAATAGATTATGTAAGGATAAATAGCTGGAAAAATATGACAAATTAATATAATTTTCTTAATTTGTTAAATTTATTTTTCATTTCTTTTAAAACATGAAAAATTGGAAAAACAAAAAAAAAAATAAATTAATTTCAACGAATATACTATTCCCATATGTTAAAAAACAGGGAGAGATAATTTTTATTCTAAAAATAATTTAAACATTATATTCTGTAATCCTTTTTAAGTAGAGTAATTAATAAATCGTACGAATATTAAAAAGAGTTTAAATAATAGCGTGAAATAATTCAAATTTGCTCAATTTATCATTATCAACTGATTACTATAGTGTATATAATTTTTACATATAAGGAAGAAATATAAAATCAATTAAGCAGTAAAAATCAATATCACATGCGCTGTAAAAATCAATAATCAATTATAATCGTATGCAAAAATGTATTAATTGAACCTAAGTTCGAGTCTGAGACTTTTTCGAGTTTGAGACTAACTTGAATCTGAGACTTTTATATACATATAAGTTAACTTTGATTATTTATAAATTGTATTTTCAAAATTCTTATATTAAAATTTTCATTCTTTTTATTTTCTCAAAAGAGAGAGAGAGGGGGGAAGGGGGAGAGAGAGAGAGAGAGAGAGAATGAGCTATCTAGGTACGGTAATTTCTGTGTAAAGCTTATACAGGGTGTCCCAAAGCACCCTTGACAACGCTCGTGAGCAAGTAGAGCACAGTAAACTGAACAGGTTGCTTATAATGCGCGAGTTGACAAGTTCTTGATTTTTTCAACTCAAATATGAACGTTTTTCAAATCTCTCCAATCCACGTTTTTATCCGTTCTTTATAGAATTTTTGTTATTAAGGCGATTATTAATCTTGTCTCGCAAATTGACACAATAATGCGGATTAACTATGTATGTATGTTTGGATAAATGCGTACATCTCAATTGCGAGATGCTGCAATTAGCTTGATTTTTCTAGCATCACGATTAAAGAGAGAAAGAAAGAATTATTTTTTTTAATGTAAATGCGAGTTTATAACAATTGAAGACATTTATGATATAGCCCCAATGAGCAAACAATATTTTTGAAAATGTTTTTAAAAATGTTTGAAAAACATTTTTAAAAACATTAAAATAATAGGTTAAGTAATCCCCTTTTAATGTTTAAAAAATGTTTATATTAACATTTGCTATTTCAAACGAATATTTCATGTAAAATAAATAATTAATAATAAACATTAAATAAATATTATTTTTACAATCAATTGTACAATGTATAATTAATAAATAATAAACATTAAAAACACATTTAAAAAATATTGTTTGCTCATTGGAGCGATGTCTATAGCAAAGTAGATTTTACACAATCATGATTTTTCTCATTTTTTTATTAATGACACGACATAATAATATAATATTTCAGAACATAAAAGCGGGGAAAAGCTGGAGATAACAAAACCGGAAACCGCACAAATTTGCCGCAAGGAGGCAAACAACCCTTTTCGCGCGGTAAGAAAACCGGAGAGAGAGGAGGAGAAAGAATATCGCCGAGTCGGTCGAGAGGGTTGAGGCGTCCACCTTTGTTTTTCTCGCGGATCTAACGAGGATTTACCGTTGCTACAACTACCCGTGTCCTCGTCAGTCACCACCACCATCACGTAACATCGGTGTGAAAAATCTCTCGATGCCGGGAGAAGACGCGGAATCTTGGCAGAAGTCGCGAGGATAAAACAACGGCGCCGTCTCCCGCAGGAGACCAATTTAGGTACACGCTTGGACAGATTTAAATCAAATCAGGCTCGCCGCTGTATTCGCAAAAATTAATCTGCACAAGCCGCCCTGCCTCCTTCGAGCTCCACGGAAAAAAAAATAGTATTTGCAAAAGTTCTGAAGTTTATTCCTGGGATCGTCAGCCGACTCGTCGTCGTCTACTAAATTTCTTCATTTAATAGGGACATGCACTTGGCCGATTTCGGACAAGCAGTAATTTATAGTTTGTAAAAATAAGTCTTCGATCAAAGTAAAATGAAGTTATATTCTTTACGCGCGAGCTGTATCGTGTTTTTTTTTTTTTTCAAAGTTTCGATATAAGATATAACAATGCATGCCTATCTCCTTTTACCTATCTCCTTTTACCATTTTTTATTATCTAATCATTTCGTCTAATATAGCTTGCATCATTTTTTTTTTTTTTTAAGAAGTGACAATTGTCAACGTTCGAGAAAGAAATCTCTCGATTTATCGATGCATTCATCCGCCGCTGAATCGCCGCGACAAAATCTCGGCTGATTCGAAAGTCCGCGACGCGGGGGGAAACAAGTAGAAAAGGTCGACGGCGATCGCGTCCTAACAGGGGGGACGAGACGAAGGAAACCTTGATATATCCGCCAAACACAAGGAGCTCGAACACCTCGGCGGGATTTATCGGTAAATGTAACGCAAAAATTATAATCAATATATAAATTTTATGTATATAGATCAAGATTGTTTATTTACATTCTACTTAAATCTATTATTTAAATAAAATTTATAATTTAAACATTTGTATGTAAAATAAAATACTCGATAAAATAAAATGCATATATAAAATTTAAATTTTATTACATATACAAAATTTACTTACTTTTGAAATTCCCATTCGCGATTGTCAAGTGGACAAACTTGCCGTGTTTTCAACCAACGTGAGATGCAATGGAAATGAAAAGCGTGCTAGAAAAGAAAGCTACAATTATACGATAATTCAAAGGATTCATAGTATTAACGTCGAAGTGTCAAACCTACATTGCATACACCCCAGGCCACTGTGCACTCCTCGCTTGTGGCAGATGCCTGGTTTGCTTGGCATTCAATGCAAAGATCCATAATGTGATTACGACATATAGCACAGTTGTCCACAACAATATCTGAAAGTCAACGTATTAGAGATCTTTCGCTGTATCTTGGGGATTGTAAAATGCTAATAATTGATCATAATTCTTACCCCAAGCCCATAATGCTACTGCATTCCACTGAAATAAACAAAATAGTCATATTTAATTGCGTGATAGATAATAAATACACATGTATACAAGGAGTGACAAAGCGGAAATAAGGTTAGAAATTATATTTGTATACCGAAAAACGACCACGAGCATAATCTCAATTTCGTACAATCTATTGACGTGTTTTTACTCACTTTCTTTACTTCGAAACGCTTCTTCTCGCCTTTTCCGCTGCTAGAGGTTGGCAAATCACACTCGTCGTCGTCGATTTCCATGGTTGTCGCCATATTTAAATTTTGGAGCATAGGCCGAATCGGTGTTGTGTTGAACACAGAATTCTTCGCGTATGCGCGGTAACAGGAACGAGCACACAATATATAAGCGCGAAAGTTCTAACGGACAGTAACAGACTCCAACAGATAAGACAATTTATATAAAGTGTCTCAAAGCAACCGAATAATTTTTCAATGACAAACAGTAGTAATGATAAAGCGGCCAAAAAATATGTCATTAAAATAACATCCAAATTGAGATTTGCACACAAAATATATCATTTTTGCATTTTACATAGCATGCAAAAATAATAAGGATAAAAATGATCCTGATGTGAAAAATCTATTCAACAAAAAACATTAGATTAAATAACATCTAATGCAAAGATTAATTTAACAAAAAATTACAATTATTCTAATATATATATAAATAAATAATATATATATATATTATGTAGCTATAATATAGCAATATATACACAATTATCAACCAATAAGAAATCTCTCGATTTATCGATGCATTCATCCGCCGCTGAATCGCATCGACAAAATCTCGGCTGATTCGAAAGTCCGCGACGCGGGGGGAAACAAGTAGAAAAGGTCGACGGCGATCGCGTCCTAACAGGGGGGACGAGACGAAGGAAACCTTGATATATCCGCCAAACACAAGGAGCTCGAACACCTCGGCGGGATTTATCGGGACTACGGATAATGGATGGCTTCCGCGCGCAGCTCTCTCCCTCTCTCTACCAAGAACACCGCTTTTTTAAATAATACAACACATAACGCTGAAAAATTCCTGACCCTCTTCTCACATGCGGAGCGATAATCGCGGCTACCCAAATAAAATAGACGAATATAACAGGGATAATTGGAAAGACCGTCGGTTCTATTTGTTATTAAGTAAAAATGTGAGCGTTATAAATAATGTTGTTAATCTCGATTCGATAAATTTATCAGCTTGCGTCGATAAAAATAAGAATTACCATTGTGAAATAATTGTTTAAAAATAAATGTGAGGAACAAAAGCTCGTTATATTAGAAATATATTTTTAACTGTTTAAAATTTTAACTTTTAACTGTTTAATATTTTTAACTGTTTAAAATTTTGTTCAAAATTATTTCAAAAAATTTAAGGTAATAGCATGTTAAGCCACTAAAAAGAGACAAAAGAAAATATTTGGGAATTTAATAATTTATATAATAACTATATAAGTTATTAAATCAGTATTTTGTAAATTGAAAAAATAATAATATATACTCTTTACATTCTAAATATATTGAATTCTTAATAAAATATGCGAGCAAATTTACTTACCTCCCCTCGCGCTAAAGATTTATCGATGCCATCTTCCCTTCGTTCGATCCGTCTCGTCGCGAAAAACGCTCGCTCACTTCGACACGAAAAAACACAACTAATTATGTGTCGCCCGCTTTAATTAACACGATACATATTTTTCTAGACGGTATCCATTTTTATTACATAGAAAATGCAATGAAAATCGCGGAGCTACTACACTTCGACCGCAATCGGACGCGGCGCGATGCGAAATAATATGGCGACTGCGCATGCGCACATGTTGGAATGTCAGCGCGATACGGCAATTACACTAAACGCGCGTACATAGTAATATTTAAAAATGTTTTAACAATCCGTAATTTTACAACTTACAATTACCTTAATATTGCGTCAAAGAATTTACCTTGGAACTTTTCCCCAGCACAATTTTCTCTATACGTGCTAAAAAAAAATTAAAAAAGTTAGAAAGGATTAATTGGAGACTCCCATTTTCAAAGTTATGAGCAATCGTTGACATACATATTGGCATTCGATGGAATGAAAGTACAATATTCATTGCAAATTGTCGCGTAAAGTCCATAACCCTGGAAAATTCTTTTCTTGCGTCTTTTGAAACCTTCCTCATCTAACGCGATACGAAATATACGTACGTGTCCGGGCAAAAAAATCGCGAAGATCACTGCGACAGCCTGAAGCGCGCAAGGGCATGCAGTTGGCAGTACTGACCGGCAGTAAAATGGCGTGGTCGTTTCGCTGGAAGAGTGAATACGGGTCAGGAACGTGTGTGCACGACGTCAATAGCGCGTTAGGCTTGACATGTAAATAATAAACGAGCGTATAGTCGATTAAAGACTGGCTCGTGCCTGTTTGTCTTTGCCGTATCAACGCTCCACCGAGTGTCCGATGATATTCCGGTGATACGTTTCTGACAGCGTGTCCGCAATGGCCGATGAGTCCGCTCCGCTGCCGAAGAGGCGCCAATTGGTAAACAAAGAGCACGCGCGAATTTCGGCGTCGACGATGTCGAACAACTCGAGGGCGATTCGACCAATGTGTTTTTCTCATCACTTACGTGATTCCATTTACAGCGGGAAAGAACTAGAAAATTGTACACCGATGACTGGACCTTAGGTGACGAGGAAATCGAAGGACGTAGAACTTTTCAGCTCGACGAGAAGATCGAATGCGAGAGGTATGACCTGAACAACTTCAGTGGACTCTTTCGTGAGATGACTGGACCGGAGCTGAATCTCATGTATCTGCAGAAATATGGTCTGCAGATACCGTTGTTGTTTAAGGAGAAGTCAGGGCTGGGTCTACGAGTACCCAGCTCCAATTTCTCCATCAATGATGTGAGAACTTGCGTCGGTAAGTTTTAGGTATGAGAACAAAAATATTATATATTGCAGATTAATAATGTTTATACGATAGGTTCTAAGAGAATACTGGATGTTATGGATGTTAATACTCAAAAGAACGAAGATATGACAATGAAGGAGTGGCAAAAGTATTACGAGGATTCTAACAAGGAGCGTCTATTGAATGTGATTTCCTTAGAGTTTAGTCATACCAAGTTAGAGAATTATGTACAGTCACCTGCATTAGTGCGACAAGTCGATTGGGTAGACGTAATATGGCCAAGGCATTTGAAAGATGCTCAAGTGGAATCTACAAATCTTTTAGAAGACATGATGTATCCAAAAGTGCAAAAGTACTGTTTAATGTCGGTGAAAGGTTGTTACACAGACTTTCATGTTGATTTTGGTGGTACAAGTGTGTGGTATCACATTCTGCGTGGTGGCAAAATATTTTGGCTGATTCCACCAACTGAGAAAAACTTGGCTCTTTATCAAGAGTGGGTGTTGAGTGGTAAACAGTCGGATGTATTTTTCGGTGATATGGTAGACAGATGTGGCAGGATAAGTCTAACAGCTGGTATGACGCTATTCATACCAACTGGTTGGATACACGCTGTATACACTCCTCAGGATTCTTTGGTTTTCGGTGGGAATTTTCTTCATAGTTTTGGCATAGAGAAACAATTGAAAGTGGCGCAAGTGGAAGAGCATACAAAAGTGCCACAGAAATTTCGGTATCCATTTTTCACAGAAATGTTATGGTAAGAATCAATTTTATATATATATAAAAAATATTAAATGTAATGTGTATTATTACAAGCATTTATATGTTTTTACAGGTATGTTCTTGAAAGATACGTGCACGTACTTTTGGGTAGGACTCATTTGGAAATATCCGAATCGCAGCGGCAGCATTCAGTTCCACAACAGCACCAGCATATACATATAACGCCGTTTGAATTGCATGGTTTGAAAGCGATAGTTATGTATTTGCATTCAGCTGAATGCCCTAGAACTGGAAAAGGGATTCGAGAGATGATCTCCGTACGATCGATCGGCCTCACGACATGACGTCATGAACTACGATGCCCGTTATATCTTGTTAAGGAGCAACGTATTCGCACCGGCATGGATTTGCAGAATCGCCTTGAGCGTAATAAAGATATACATCAAACTATGTTAAATAAATGTCATTGCTATTAATATACCTTAAGGCACGCCCACATTATATAAGCGGAATATATTTTTCGTTTAAATAAAAAGCACACCATAAGAAGTAAATTATTAAAAGAATCAGAGGATCATTTTATTATGTAAAATATTTTCTTATAATTCATATAAAAATTAACAAAAATTCTTCTCAAATCGATTTATTTTAGAATTAAAATTATCACATAAAGGTGAACGTGTAATGGAAGAAGGATACGATTCAGAGGTGAAAAGAGTATAGCTATCACCTCATACTCCTTTCGCATTCACTTCGTGACGTTCTTACGACAGAACGGGACGAAACTTTTACTAGACGAAATCTCTGAAATATCGGATAATCGGATTAATCAAGGTTTACGGTTTCAAAAATTCTCATCATAGAAAAAAATACAAATAGTGCCCAATGCCAAAATGTGTCCTAACAATGTCTACGATATCATATCTGTTTTTTTTTAAATAAATATATTAAATAAGAGTAGGTTATTTATTGTAAAGAATAAGAGAATTTAAATTGAAAAGTAATAATTATAAATGCCCTGAATGACACACTGTCGTGACACATACTTAAAAATAGAGGAAAGTATTTGAATAACTTTTAATATCACCGTAATATAAAACATGACTTTTATTACGAATCAAACAAATTTAATTCATATAACTGTGCTATTTTCAAAATCTAAATCTAATCAATACATTATTTTTCTACTATGTCGTATAATACAGTATTCACATAATAAAAATGTGAACGAGACTAGCGATTTTTTATATTTTATTGTGATAATACGCGTCTCTTATTAGATAAGAGAAAGGAAAAGAGAGAGAGAGAGAGAGAGAGTAAATAAGAGTATTAAATCAAGATCGCATTAAAAAATAATTTGTTTGTTTTCCAATATTTTGAAATTTAACACGACTACTATTAATATACAATTTCCATTTTTTTAAATGATCAGATGCTGTAAGTAAATTATCAGAAGTATTTTATAGTCTTTATTTATTATTATAATCTTATTATTATAACAAGTTATATAATATATATTAGAAATTAAATACGATGAACTTTGAAATTAATTATATATTTTGTCTTTTACCAAAACTAAAATGTATTAATAATATTGCTTTTCCTGCACATATATAAATGTAACTACTTTATTTTTCTTTTATCTATATATTTTTATATCGTCATCATTTTCACATCCAACAATTTATAATCAATTCTCTATAGTTAAATCAATTCTAAAGGATAATTTCGCGAAAGAGCGCTTCTGAACATATTGCTTCATCCGGCTAGCTTGCTGACAAAGAAATCCATCTATCATTTGTTTTTATGAACGCTAAAAAATTACTTTGAACTCTGACATAAACTAATATAAAATCCATCTAGTGATCGGATTAACCGATCGACCGGACCACCTACGGATTCCTTGTTAGATACTGTCTTCGAGTGCAGGCGTGATCTCGCCCTCGAGCCTCTTCCCACGCCTGACTATTCATAAGACTTTCCAGAACAGGTGTGCAGAGACTTGCTCGCTCTTTCTCTCTCTTTTTGTTTTTATCCAGCACGCGCGAATCCCCGAATAAGGCGCCGGGATCTAAAGTCAGACGACAGAAAAGTAAGAATTGAGATGAAAGAAGCTTACCGTTGCTCTCTCTAGGCAGATGTCGACCGGCTCTCCCTTCCCCAGCTCTCCTGCAAGAAGATGTAATTTTCGCTGTATGCCCAGATTAGAAGCCGGCTCGTCGGGACTATCCCCAGTTCCGCCCGCCTGATAAGTATTGCCTACCGTATACCAGCCTCCTCGCTCTCCCTTCTCCTGCAAGAAGATGTAATTTTCGCTGTATGCCCAGATTAGAAGCCGGCTCGTCGGGACTATCCCCAGTTCCGCCCGCCCGCCCGCCTGTGCCTACCGTATACCAGCCTCCTGCTG